TAAACGCAACAGGAATTCTTAACACCTGGTATTCTTAACTGGAATACGAATTGTCGATCCGGTCTCCATCATATCAGAAGTTTTTCATTACCTGACCATTATTCAGTTTATTTGTAACTCCGCCCATTTCCTTGTCTTCATTTTCTTTTTCTTTCTTTTTCTTTTGCTTTTTCTTTTTCTTTTGCTGTTCCATTTCGTTGATTCCCTTATAAAAGATGACTATACTTTTGAAAAGCCAAGACGTCTATAAAAATTTTTTTACTAACAATTACGCCTGTTTTTCTAATTTCGTTCTCTGATGCATTTTGAGGGTGAATAAAAGGAATGTCAGGTTCTGTAAAATTATAGGGATACCTCAAACCACCTGTTACGCATGCATGGCAATGGAACAAGAATCCGTATCTTGGTCGCGCGGTGTGTTACTTAAGTGGCAAAATTTAGAAAGTTTTACGATTGAAGTCCTCAACTGAAGACAGTATTAAGATAACCACAACGTTGCTGAGATATTTGCAAAACTCTGGACCGCAGGTGTCTAATGGTGGGGAACGAACGCGCTATTGTCCTTTCCGGGGAGTAACGCGTTCACCACCACATCATGCGGGGGGTCCTTTGTTTCGCCTGTCTCTCAGCTATTTCTATCGATCTTTTGCCACAGCAATCACCCGTCGGCGGGATTGATCTGGGGCGCCCAAATCGGCATAGAACCCAGTTAAGCTGCGGCTGTAATCAAAATCACAATGTTATACCTTTTTATTTTCTATAGCTGAGAGACAGGCGAAACGAAGGACCCGCATGGTGTGGTGGTGAACGCGTTACTCCCCGGAAAGGACAATAGCGCATTCGTTCTCCACCATAGACACCTGCGGTCCAGAGTTTTGCAAATATCTCAGCAACGTTGTGGTTGTATTTGGCTTAGTAACCTGCCTCGAAATTATAGTAGGCAGAAAATAAAAAGGTATAACATGGTGTTAGGATAGTTTTGATTAGACTGCGTCAAACGTAAGGTCGTAATCAACAGAAGCTTCAAGATAAGGATACCGATGGACTTTTATCTCCTTGGTAACACTTTCAGCGGAGAGGTATTCTCAGTGAATTTTTGTGATTATAGCAGTATCTTGAACAGAGTGGTATTCCTGTTGACCTTTCATGCCCTTAATGAGTGGTCGAACAGAGAGTACTCTCAATGGACTTTTATATCCATAGCAACGCTTTAAGCGTAAGCCGAGCAAGGGACTTTATGTTGGAGACCAGCTTGCCTAGTTGTTGTGTTTCCTTTCATGTCCTCGATGTGTGTAATAGGAAAATTTTTGAGTGGATCGTTCGCTAAATCGATAGAATGATAATTGCGAAAGTTTTCTGTGTTAATTTCCTTTCCTGCAGTTCAATAATGTTTCCTTTTAGAAGATTTAATAAGTTATATTGGTTACGACTCTCGTTTTTGTTGATGGAGTGTGGTTTAGCTTCTGTCCAACTAGTTCGTTGTTTGCTGCCTTGTAGTACGAAGTTTTTTTGATTCATTTTCGTTGTCCAACTGCAGTAACTGCAGAACGTTCTCGAAGGCCTTAAGAACACTTACTGAGGCTAGTTCGTTTCGGAACTGCGTCCACTGTCTCCTGACGCTGCTTCTTGCAAAGATCTTCTGTAAACTAAGTGTGGTACACTTTTGCATCTACCGTTGAGAAACTAATGAGTATTGATTGAAGTCCACTTTTGAGGAACTTCTAGAGTTCAAACGGATCTATCCGGTCTGTTCGACGTTATTTAGTGTGAAGATTTTGTTCAGGACGATTTCTTTGTCAGGAATTTGTCGATTTTTCTTTCTGTCAATGGCAACTCTTCAGTTTGTAGCTAAATTGGAAGAAGAATTAATCGAACTTACTACAAAAGGAAGATACTAAATAGGTACCAAGTGAGTATTATGTTCTCCTTATGAAAACCCTGCATAGCGATGTGCCATTTAGTGGAAAGGCGAAAACGTTTCTCCTTTCAGGACTAAAGTGTTTTCATCAAGGAAACATAAGATCAGCAAGGGTACATAAATTTGCCGAATGTTACCGTTGAGATCTCCTAACTCGAGTTCTTTTGTTTTGCATTCCTCTTCGCTTCTAACATTTCGTTTAAATCTGTATCGATTTGTTAAGCTTTTTCTTCACGGTTCAATATATCCAATTAATCTTAACGAGACCTCATCAGCAGTACATTTTTGAGAGTAGAATTCTAAAATACTGGAACTTTTTTGACGCGGAGAATCTTTGGATAACCGTGTAAGATGTCATGATCTTTGTTATCACCTATCTTGCTGCCAGATATCGTGCTACCTTCTTCGACCTGTAATAATCTAAGAGTTTGTGATCATATTATTAATCATGGAGCATGTGCACAGGGGGATGAGGAGCCTCGCAGCATACACGTACACGGTTCTAGGTTCGATCCCGCTCCGGGCTAACAAAGCCATCCAAAACTTTACGCTCGGTAAATTGGTGCCATATTTGTCTGTGAGGGTAACAAGTGATTTGATACATCGCTAGTTCTCATTGAAGTTCAATGGATGAAAAATCCTTAGAGGATTGACTAACTCCAAATTCTTCATCTGTTTTGTTTCCTTGTTGCTATTCGAAGATGTTTCCACAGTTGGCGCTCATTCTGCATTTTTTGCCCTTTATTATTGGTGATATTGGCGCTTTGTTCTCTGACCTTCCTGTTTCGGATGAATGATTCATCATGTCATCATTTATCAACTTCTTGTGTGACTTGTTGTTGTTCGGCTAGAGTGTACGTCTTGAAAATGGGCGGTAGATGGTCATCAACAACGTGAAACATTTGAATCAGTGTCTTTCCAACAATGACACAAACATCTGTGATAGGTAGTTCAGTTGCTGATTTTTTTGGTAAGTTTCAATATCGTTGAATGGTTTTTTTTCTTTTGTACTTTCAGATGTTATTGAATTGTAATGGAGTTATTGAAACCTTCATTCTCCACTAGAGTAACGCAATATTACGGTAGTTTCTAACCCAATTCTGTTTATGAATTCGTCGTTTTCTCTCTCAGCAATTGCGAGGTTGTTAAACAGCATGCGTTTACTTCCATACAATAGCACATACAACACAATCGTAGCCAATTTTGTTTAATTTAATTAAATTTGACCTTGCTCTAGAAAAACCTCTAAGTGTAGATTTTGATAAAAGGCGTTTTCTTCTTTAATTAACCACCATTAGAGTGAATGTTTTCACCAGTGGATATCACCACTGTTAAGCTATACGTCATGAATGATAAGAACGATAACAATGGTAGGAATCCTAATAGGCACGTTACATCGCTGAGGGACGAATCGATTTTCAGTAAAGCAAAACATAAGAGAAAAAAACTGAGGGTTTTACTACGACATTGTTGTATAAGTACTGAGAATTTTGGAAAAGATGGTGGGAATTTACTCTCCTCAATGTTATTAGTTCATTGACCATATCCACTTACAGTCGTATCAGGACCTCAATTATTAGTGCTATGTGGGACGATTTTAAGAAACTGATGGTCTATAGACTCGTAATCCGAGACAGTTTTCGAAAAAATTATTGTGCAAAGTCTTGGTGTTGACACCGTATGCATGATATAGATATTGATTTCTTTATCAGCATAAACTTAATTAGAATACTATCGTTGCATTTAAATGGCCTGCGGTAAATAATGAATGAAAATGTTGACGTCTTTTTTTTCAAAGGCGATTCTGATTTTGATTCATTAACCACGGCAGGATCGCAGATGAGAGTTTCGAAAATTGGATTAGTCGCTTGCTATTAGCACCTTCTTGCGTTGATCTACTGAACGTACTTTTACTGCCATTTGTGGCCCAAATGCATTTCAGTGGTTTCAGTGCATTGTATTCGAAAAATAATAGCCGCTTCAGAGTTTAAACGAAAATGCGTGACCTCGTATTCAACTTCATTAGAAAAAAACAGTTGAAATTTGCAGATCTTTGCATACGAGACACTAATTCTTTAATTTTGTGCGATAAAATCTTCAGTTTTTAGAAAAAAGCATATTCTCCATATGTTTTTAGTACCTATTTCCCTTCAGAGGGCGCGTGTCGTTCAGTGGTCGGAGGCACCCTGCAAACACACACGTGGAATCAATCCCTTCCCCCATGGCCCACCAAACCTTCCATCTCTCCGAGGTTGGCAGATTGGTACCAAACTTGTCTGGGAGGATAGCAGCACTGGCTTGATACATCAGTAGGCCACCGCGAGTCATTGTAAAGGCCAGATATGCATTCAATCACCTCAAACGAAGCTTAATGAAGTCGAATGCATGACGCATCCCTCAGAGAGTGGTCAACGCCGAGAGCTTTATCTTTTATTTTTTTTATTTCCTTCAGTTTCAAACATTTTATTGTATAAGAGTGGGAATTAAGAGGAATGAAGTTCTTTTTGATCGCAGCGCTTTGTTTTAAACTAATTAATCACGTTGTACAATTCGATCACGAATATGAATGTGTATCCTTCAAGAAGTTCCTTCGATTCCATTTAGAGTCAAAATCGTCATCACGTCGAAGCTCTTACCTCATTAGCGCAATGAACACAAACGATCTGACGGCTAACGTTTCATCCAGCACTACCACAAAACGCATCAGAAAATATGGGCCACGAACAAGTGCACTTGATGTTAGTGTCTTTTCGACTTTTTAAAACTTGAAATCACCTCGATTGCGTACATTTATTCTTTCAAGGCAACTGTTTTTTATGTTGGGTTGTAGTAATCATAACGTGCGAAGTGCGGTGGTTGGGGGTGGGTACTTCGCAATAAACATGGGTCACGGGTTTGATCCTACACCAGTGCTAAACTAACCAAGCCACCACATCCATTTTGCCAATTTATCGAAGACGTACGGAGACGATAAAAACACGTATTTGAGAATTTAAAAGCCCTCTCAAGCTACTCTTTTGACCGGAAATGCATTCAATCAGCTCTACTATTCTACGAATGGAGTCGAATGCATGGCGCATTATTGAGGGTTTCATCAATGCCAAACGCCTCATCCTTTTATTTTTTCTCACTATGGTAAGATCTACCATTAGACATGCTTTTGGTGGATCATTATTATCGAAAACGAATAATGGGAGAAGAGCAAGAGTGATAGCGATCGAATACCTACAGGCGATTCCTGACGTTGATTTAACGAGTCAAACGATTCTGATCACTGGAACGACGACTGGAATCGGAACGGAAACGGCAAGAGCGTTGGCTCTCAGAGGTGCTCATATTATCATGGCGAATAGGAATATCGTTCAAGCTGAAGCGTTAAAGAATCGTCTACTGGCGGAGAAGGTAGACCATTTCTGTTTTAGAGAGAATTTAAATGAAGCTTTTTTCTTCGAAGTAGTTCTTTTCTTTCCGTTTTCTTAGAGACGAAACGAAATTTTCTTGTCAAACGACGGATTTTGTTTTGTAGCCAGACGCCAAGATTGATCTGATAGTATGCGATTTAAGTTCGCTACAGTCAGTACAGGCAGCTGCAAATGAATACAAAGAAAAGCAATGGTGAGATTTTATCCATATTACCTAGCAGAATTATCGATACCACTATTTTCTTAATCTACAACAGCGAAAATTACTTAAATCTGTTGGGTAAATTTCCTTTATCTTACATTCCTACCCGGTTTACTTCATAGTCAATATAGCTCCTTATCGACTTTGATGTGTTGATCGAAACAATAGCGTACTTATACCCGATTGTCGTCCGGAACCGATCGATATGAATATTTTCAATCTATCATGTTCCATGTTATTAACATTATGCTAGCACGTGTTGATTTCTAGCTTAAGCTCTTGAGTACGTGAAATGTTTAAGACTTGACTGTGAGAAACCTACCTCCTCAAAGGTGTCTATAATCTTTAACCTTTCATTTACTGGCTTTTTTTTCGTGCCATGATGTTATGTGAAATACAACCACAATGATGCTGAGGTATTTGCAAAAGTCGGACTCAAGCCAGATTCGAACCCGTGATTACCTTTTCCGGGTCCCACGTGTTATCCACTGCATCACTGTGACCCTTGCTTTGTCTTTCTCTCAGGCAGTTTTTCTTGGCACAACGATGCCATCAGCAATCATCCGCCAACGTAAATGATCTGGGGAGCACAAATCGGCATTAAACTAGTTAAGCTGAGGGTGTAATCGAAATTACAGTGTTGTATCTCTTCTTTACTGTCCATTATTTTTTTTTATCTACATATGTAATTGTTCTGGTTATATTTTATCAATCAGTTTCATATCTAGAGTGGTTCCGTAGTAATTACCAAGATCGACTTTCTATTAACCTCGGCATCGGTCAAGTAATTCACTGTTTTCTCGATGAGGAAACACAAAGCTGTTTACTCTTACTCTACTTTTCATTAGCCAACGAGTCGACGTTTCGGCGGATTTCAACTTCTTCAGAACCTGAGGGGTCAAGTTCATTGCAATCGAGTCAGCTAAACACCTCTATAACCAAACAGAGAAAATACTAAACCAAGATTTTAATTACCTTGAACACAGAATGGCTTCTTTGCATGCTCACCGCTTTCTATGAGTCTTCTACTGAGTATTTCACGTTGAGACCAACCGTAAGGGGTTCACATGAAAGCGTAATGTGCCTTTCACATCAAAACAACAGTCTTAAGTACTGTCCAATATCACGAATGATTATTATGCATTCCTCCCTGCGGTTCATTTCCAGATTCTTGGATTCTTGCAATTATGGTACAGAAAGCCAAGTAGTAAAAACATCTTGGTTCATTACCTCTCTTTTCACCTTTCTCGTAGGAAAAGGGCGCCTGTAAGAAACATTTTTCGAAGAGGCAACAGCAAGTGCCCAGGAAGGAGGAATCTTAAAGATTGGCGCTGGAAATATTTCCAATGGCTATGAAACTGTAGCCCCTTGGGTTACGTGCCAAGAAAAATTCGAGCAACCAAACGATAATTCTGGCGATAATAAAGTTCCGCTTCTCCTGCTCCTCATTTCAAACGAACTAAACGCAGGTATAACACGCTGCTTGAAAAGGGCCGGTCTGGAGAATTCGGTAACAGTAATTGAAATGCCACCGAGTACTCTAAGACTCCAGCTAGTTCGCAACCGCCTATATGACTGTCTATGTGCAACGCAAAATTGTATAACTTACCCTAACGGTAGAGACGGTGATTGCATGAGTTTCGGTACGGTTTATCTGTTCTCTTGAAAATGGTGCGGGAACGAAGACTCGAAAATTTTGGCGAAACGGATAGATCACTCTGAATCCGCATAAAAGAACACGTAGACGATAAACTTAAAGTTAAATCGAATACTTCACTAGGTGTGCGTAGGATGCAGAGAAATAATGGGGAAGATTCTGAAATATAAGTTACCATCTTCGCACCGGTATCGAAGACTTCAGCTTACAAAACTATCGATCAACTTTGGGTAAATTTCAATAATCCGAAAATGAACCGCACTAAGGAGTGCCTGGTTATCACGTCTGATTTCACACACTATTTATGACTGATACTTTAATGTGCGGGAAGCATATTACGCCTCCATGGCATGAACTCTGTACAGTTGATCTTCCGGTGAAATACTCATCGGAAGAATCATAGAAAGCGACAAGTACGCGAACAGGCTACTTTGTTCTCAATGCGATTGAAATCTTGGATTGATGTTTTGCCGTTTTGGTTTTGGAGGCGTTTGGATGTGTAGATTGCAGTCAACATGGCCTTTGCAGGCTCTGAAGAGGCTGAAATCCGCTGAAATGTCAGTTTTTTCGTCAATGAAAAATAAGGTTACAACCTCTTGTTTTCTCTCATGAAGAATATAGTGCGTTGTTTTTATTGCATTATTTTCACTGTAAGTTTTTTAGGACCGATCTTTCCAAAGAAAAATTTAAAACGAACATTTATCTGTAATTTATAACACATTTGCGGTCGCCTCAAACAACGACTCATTCGGTCGGGATCATTCTACTACATGAGATTCATTTTCTTCAACTGCTTCGTGCTCGAAAGTTGTGAACAACTACAAAAAGGAAAGGAGAACTATCTTTGGTCCCGTAAGAAATTAAAGTTAAATCATCATGGTAGAATTAGGCAGCTTATTTCTTGTTGGCAGTAATTTATAGATTCTAACGGTTTCGATCAATAAAGTTCATTATTTGTTGCGATGTGTTTGTTTAAAATCGGGAAACTAAATTGTTTTCTTCGCGTACGAATCAAGGTCAGTGCACAATGTCGTGATTATGTCAACCACTGCTGGTAAGAACGCCGAAAAAGTGGAAGGATGAACTTTGATCTCATACGAATGATTTCACTGTTCGCTAAACGTCAATCCTATTCTGTCATCGTAACTGTCTTCCATAGTTTCCTGGTTGATTGTGTTTTAGTAAAAGAACAAATAAAAATAGTGGGACAATTCTATGATAACTTTAGGTCACTTCATGCTCTGGTTTTGAACGCCGGCATTTTCTCACCGACACAAAAAATGACAATCGACGGGCTGGAGATGACATTTGGTGTGAACCACGTCGCACATCAGTACCTCGTCCGAGAACTTTTGCCGCTCTTAAGGCAGTCCAGTGGCAGAATCGTCGTAGTTTCCTCTCATTCACACAATCATACTGGGGTGAGTGAAAATCTACACCGTATGGATCAATTTTACGCTTACAGCACACTACAAATTCCTCTTGTTATGTTAACTAAGAGTTGAAGGGTAATGTTTGCACAAAGTCTGTTAGTTTTGTCAGGCTTTAAGCTTTTTGTAGAGTACAGTAGTAAATACAAAACATGTTCAGTACTATTCTTTCACAAAATTCTTCATCAAACACAGAATTAAGGAAAGAATCAGTTGGACAAACTGTTGGAGAACCCGTAGAGTCAAATGTAAATGTTTTAATTCGTCAACTGTACCTTAAAAAACTTCCCAGTTTACTGCCATGTCTATTACCTCTTATTTGTTGATGAAGTTGTGGGAATAAAATATTCGACTTGGTCTCATACTTCAAAAGGGTTACTTAAGCGCAGAAGAAGGTTGACATTTCCACCTTGAAGCCCTGATCAGAATAAGCCAATGATAAGAATCATCCCCGTGTTGGTAGCAATTCAGTGGGGAAGTGGAATGCCTCCTTCCGCTCCAGAAAGGCCCGTAGATACCTATGGCGACGACCGAAGATATCCATAGCACGGCTTTTTCGGAACTCCCAAAAAGGAAGCTCTTGTCAGACCAGAATCACGTGATTCTTCGTTAGAACGAGTTACTGAAGTATTCAAGTAACTGACAAAAACCATGGTGATAACGAGACAACAACAAGAAGGACATCATGAAGGAAAGATGTGGCAGCGACATAAAAACAGTTACAAAACACTGGTAATATATCACTTGTCTCTGTATTCGTCGAAATTGACAGAAAATCAGCGCAAGTAAGGAGACGGTGACGACGAGGTAATACAGTATCAGAACAACAGTGTCGACGATTCGTCTAAAGCAGACATCTCTTGTATAGTTCTCTATCAAGGAAAAACCGAAGAACTTCTCTGTATTTGGTCTGTCCATTGACCTGCGAGTACCAAATCAGTTCTTTTCTCCCCCAAGACGAATATGTTACTAATGTGTCAGTCGATGGGAGGCTTAGTTAGCTCGGGCCAAAGGGTCGACCCAATGACCCCCTGTGTACTACAATGCACCTCTAACCACCACGCCACATGCGTTCCCAATTCATCTTAATACTTTTTTTTTTATAATTTTTAATAAAAATTTATATAAAATATAATTTCGCTGCCATAGGTATTGCATTTGACACTGGTCTCGAATTCACAAGAAAGAAAGCAACTACTGCGACGAGTTTGACTACAACTAATCTTTCCCTACTTTGTAGATGGACTAAAGCAATCTTTCAGTGGTATGCGTGTAACGCAGTGGCTAGAGGTGTACTGCAATGCACATAGGGTCATGGTTCACTTTCGCGCTCTGGGAAAACTGAGTCTTTCATCTCTCAGTGTTAGGCAAATTCTTATGAAATTGGTCTGAAACAAAACATTAACTTTACTGGAACTCAGGTATAGGCTAGATATCATCCATTCAGTCACCTTTACGATACTACAAATTGAGTAGAATGCGTGGCGCATCTCTTAAGGGATTGGCCAGCATCGAACGCTTTATGCTTCATCTTTTATCCTTCCACATTTCCATTACAGTTAAAACAAGGAATGACATTAGACGAGAAGCTTACGAAATTATCTCCAACTGAAAGCACAGAATTTGGCTATAGGTACGCATGATTACACTTAGAACTTCAGCTTGTTCAGAAGTTTTATTTTGGGAGTAAAAGAGTATATAAAAACGAAAGATACAGAAATACGATCTATTTAAGGCTTTATGCTTATTCGAAACTTTGTAATGTACTTATGGCGATGAAGCTTCATCGAGATGAGAACAAGTACGGTATATCAGTTTATGTTCTTCATCCAGGATCAATGATTGGAACAGGTTTGTTTCGTCCAAAAACAGGGATTTCCTTGCACCATCCCAGTTATCGCAGTTGTTAATATAAGTGCTTGGATTTGCCAAAAATAACAACAAAGATAACAAATACATAACAGTAAAAGGGTGCATGTGGCGCAGTGGTCGGAGGCGCCTTGCAACACACACATGTGATCAATCCCCGCACCCTGGCACACCAAGCCTTCCATCCTTACTGCGTTGGCAAGCTGGTATCAGACTTGTCTGGGAGGATAGCAGCACTGGCTCGTGGGCCACTGCCAGTCATTGTAAAGGCCAGATATGCATTCAGTCACCTCCAAACGATGCTTAATGAAATCGAATGCATGGCCCATCCCTCAGGGATTGATCAATGCCGAGAGTTTTATCTTTCTTAAGAATAAACAATCACTTAGCAAAATCTTTTTAACGAAAGCTTGTCGTAGATGTGTGCAAACATTTAACCAAATTATAGCCGGCAAAAAATGTCAGGATTTTTAAAACAGACGCTCTTCTTTTCGATGTTTTTCTAAGAGTAGTAAGAAGATGGGAAGAGGGAATGGACGAATAAAATGAATGGGTAAGAGTTTCCACACGAGTAGGGCTACAAAAATGTAAAGGATAAATGATACTAGTGGCTGGTGTCAGTCAATCTGCTAGCGATGCGCCACAAACAGGAGATGATTTAATGCATATTTGGCTTATACAATAGCTTGTGGAGTCTACGGCTGTACTATATCAGGGATTTTATCCTCCTATCTGGTACCATTCTGCCGACCCAGAAGGGATAGAATGTTTAGTTTGCCTAGGGCGCATGATCGAACCAATGACCCTATGTGTCAACTTAACAACGAGCGCTCGCTATTGGAATTGGGCCTGAGTTTCTCAAGAGCTGATTCCATTTCGAAGGTAACATTGCGTAGTGTCTATGTAGTTTGCGTGAACTCCAATAGAGACTTCATAACAAAGTAGAGTCGAAGCACTAAATAGGAATGAAACAGAAAGAAATAGGATCATTACAACTGCCAGCGTTTCCGAAAACGTTCTTTAGACAGTAAGACACCAACAATGAAGTTAATAGCAATTTTTGGATGTTTGCAGGCGAAGAGGTTTTTGCTTCAACCTCACAGAAATGCAAAAAAGTGGGAGATTCGGGAGCTGATAAGGTGAATTTTATACGATTTGTCTGCACGTGAAGTACTCAGCGAAAGACTCCAGAAAACGCTCATTGTGTGAAAAAGCCTTTTTGCTTCCGATAAGTTTTTGGTTGAGATTGCAATATCGGTATCGTAGTTCTTTCTGTTGGGATTATGGTATTTGACTGACAAATTGCAGTTAAGTTGACCTTTCCAACCTCTGATGGAAGCTAATTTCGTTGAAACGTCAGTTTTTGTAGATGAATAGATATAACATATAGTAATAATGTCATGTGTGATAATTGAGAAAACGGCAACTTATTAATAACTTCTGCTGTTAAAGGAATTCGATCTTGGGAATGACCTTATGTGTATTAAAACGCATCTTTAACCACTGGGCTACCCATCGCTCTACAAATTTACTAACACGTGTGTTCATTCAGTGTTGCTGAGCCGCATGTACACTTTATGGGATGGTCATATTGATGAATGAACGAATGATGAATGAATTTCGATGAATATTTTAAATTAATCTATTTCAAGACATCACGCGAAGCTATGGATTCCTTGGGAAATTCTGGAATACAATAACAAGGCCGTTCACTAAGTCACTAGAGCAGGGAGCCGCAACAACTGTCTATTGTGCGGCATCACCGGAAGTTGCCAATGTGCGTAAATACATTATTAATTTTGAACTTTTATGTATTTCCGTTCTTATTCTTATTATGTATGTTCTGATCTATCGGAAAAAAGAGGCTGAAGTTAAAGTCAGGAAATTTCTGATCGTTCATAAAGATCTCGAAGTTCAATGGAGTGGTGCAAATACGTTCACCTTGGACAACTTGAAAATGTTCTATGGAAACTAAAAGCACTGAATCTGTTGATGCTATTGAAATTTGAGCTCAAATGGAGTTCTTCGAAATTTAGGTCAGCGGTAAGTACTGGGAGTCTTGTTGGGATGATGAAAAGAACTTGGACGTGCAACTCGCTAGAGATGAAGAATTACAAGATGCCCTTTGGGAGAAGACTAACAAGCTGTTGGATTCATTTGAATTAAGTCGTGAGCCGATCAAGACGGTAACTGACTCCGAAAACTAGCCATAAACCTAACTTATTATTGACCTGTCTGTGAAATCCTACTTATTCCCGGATATGTGTAGTAAGAATCTTCGCCTGATTTTCTATCCAGATTATGTAACGTTGCACAGTGCCGTCCATCAACAAACCCAAATAACTTTCCATCAACTGTGACTTCCTATGTAGTTGTCTGAAATGAATAACTGGAATCATTTGTCTTTGAGAGGTTGTACAAGAGCTTCACAGGAAGAGCACTTTAGAAATATCCCATCCTTTAACTATGTAAAGTGTGGTGTTACAAAAAATGCAGTAATACATCAATCCTTACTGAAAACTAATGAATTTCAATGACCGTTTTTCCTTTGCAAACTTTCGTACCTAAGTCATTCCTGTGAAGCTAAGGAAGTTATTCCTGTGAAGCAGAAGGTGATGATGAGAAGATACTCCATCACTTCTGAATTCGTAAAAGATTCCATTGTCATGGCGGCCTCTCTGAGCTGTTTTTTCAGACCAAGGTTTTTCCTCATACTTTCATTTCGATTTGACTGCATTGATTCAATTCTATACTTTACGACTGGTCTACAGTTTGGAAAATATGTGATATACACCTGAAAAACAGAAATTCTATTTTTCTTGTTTCCGTTTATAACTTTTATTTGTCATAGTTTGCAAAACATTTGTATAAGAAACTCTCTTCATGTAACTGACCAGAATTGTGGGTAAACTTTAGTACTGGCTCGTGGCACATTAGTTACTAAATTTCAATGGCTTCTAGAAGAAAATCGTTTTCAAACTATCATATTGGTATTGCTGTTCACAAATCCTATTTCTGTATTACTTATACATAGAGATGCCTTTCAACCAATGAAAATTTCGAAGTTGCTCTTGTTGTTAGTTAAACCTTGTGAAATAAGCGATTCGCTATTATGTTAAAGCGATCCGAGTTTTAAAGCAGCTCGACAATTCCATGTAAGAGCTAAGCTTTTAGCTATTAACCTGGAAAATTGCCACCACTTTTTTCTGAACATGAACCGACACCACGTGTTTTTTCATCATTATACGGATCCTGTGTGTAGTGCAGTGGTCGGAGGCACCCTGCAATATACATGGGACTGATCCCGGCGCACCAAGCTCACCAAGCCTTCCATCCCTCCGGAGTCGGAAAATTGGTACCAGACTCTCCGGGAGGAGAGCATCAGAGGCTCCATACATCGGTACGCCACAGCGAGTCATTGTAAAGGTCTGATATGCATTCAATCACCTCCAACGATGCTTTGTGCAGTCGAATGCACGGCACATCTTTCACAGAATGATCAACGCGAAGAGATTTGTCCTTTTTTTATGCGGAATCCAGCACTTCCTGCATTCTATCCGTTTCTTGGCATCCACCATTCAGGAAGGTCTTCGAACTTTGAGTGTGGGTCGAATGGATTACGCTTTTCATGGATGTCATCATCGTGAATGTCACCGTCAATGCTGGTTGGGAAGATTCTCCTAGGATAGATAACAAGATAGCCGTGCTAGGGTGCTTCCAGTTGTATAAGAGGAAGCACTACTGTCCAACACAAGTCTAATACCAATCTCAGAGGAATAAGAGGCTTGGTGGGTTCGAAGCGGAGTCGTAACAGTGCCCCGATAGGTTTACGTACTGAACAACATCACTACCATTTCACTACTCGCTCTCTTTGTCACCAATAATGCCATAAGTTTCAAATCTACTTGTGAAATGTCCAATCTCATTTCGATCCTCAAAAACTGGGCATATGGCAATAGGTTGATAATTCTTGACACTGGCCAAATTTTAAAAATTAGATCTGACTAACGAGAAACCCAACTACTAATGTGCACCACCAATGTCGTCAATAACGTTAGGCGGTCGGACAACCGCTCAGAAGGAATATTAACGAGTAACTCATTCTTACAGTGACGCCAACATACATTGTGGAGTACAAGAATACACATACTACATTCTATGTGGGTTTGCACCACCTATACATTTTGTAGATATTTTAACTAACATCGAACAAAAAACATTGACAGTGAAGAAATATGTTGGCAGCCTTTGTATTGTGAGTGAGTAACGCAATAATTGACAGATCCAAATGTCCTACTCAGAAGTGCCCTCAAGGCGCAAGAGTCTTCTATACGTTTTAAACATAGAGTGATACCTCAGTTCCATGTTTCATCCCATACGCTATCCATCAAATGCAAAAGTGCGTCTATGGAAGTGCAATGACGATGGAGTAGCAAATCAGACTCTTCAGTACCTATTGGTAGATAGTACATCTTGTCGAAAACCTAATGTTCAATTGTTTTACCACACGAGCAGATTTACATTTTAATCAAGGATATAAAATTTTATCAGAATTCATATCACACAGATCGGAAGCATGGTTATGCTCGAATAGAAAGGTAAAGTTTGTCATAAAAGTACAACATAATATATAAATAGAACAGTAACTTCCATTACTACATAAAAGTCGCCCAAGGTGGTACAATAGGCTGAGGATTTTGTAAGTAGCTCATCACGACAGCCGACACTGACAACCTAAAATAGGAAAGATAATATCGTATACTTACTTACTCACTTGACACTTGAACGGCCCATCCTCACTAGTTGTGCGGGTCTCAGCATAATCAACATTTTTCGAAGATTTTCTGGTATTGTGGTTCCCAGAATTCCGACAGCCTGGCCAAAATTTGCTCCACGTCTTCACCACTACAGCCGGTCACCGCCATTGTGGATAAGAGGGAGATTTGCCATCATGCGACTAGTTTGGTAGCAGAACAGTGGTAGATTCTGGTATTGGTTTACTCGTAGCTAGGCTTCCTGATGGAAACACCGGACTCCTTCTCAGCTTGGGAGACCCTGCCGGGGGGACGAATCCCCCCTCTGTACATCGCAGTCCGACACTCAGGAACACTTCCTTGTTGTGATTCTAAGAATACATGACCAAGTCTCGCAAGAACATCACCTGATTTAGTACCGGAGGCAATATATAAAAAACACATTACAACAATTTCAAATAAGAGTAAACTACACAGTGTTTTGAATAGTGCTCATGCTTTAAATACCAGTGTTCAAGTAACTAACTAGATTTTTCGCACTTATAATCACAAAACACTGAGTGCATGCATTTTTCACCCAGATTATTCCATTTATGCGATGCGTACGTTCACCAAGAGAGGTTAAAACCTGAATCCTTCAAGATAATCAAATGACCTTTCGCTGTAAGCTACAATACTTCAGGTAACGAAGGATGAGGCCGTTGAGGATACTAAGCAAGAGGGTTTGCACCAGACTTGTGATCCCAAAAGAAGACGAAGAAGCGACCATCCGTATATTTCATAACATCTCTAACCAGCACCGTTATTGCGATGGTATGTAGACAAACATCGCAAGAACATAGGACTTTAATAAAATAAATCCATGGATCTCTCTCATTCTTCGAGCCAGCTGTTGCCCAGGATACGTATCGGGTAATCAAGTAGAGCTTAAATATCCAGCAAAAACCATATTTTGCTTGTGCCGTTCTGACTTATGCATATACATGTGAGCATATTCATGTACACATGCTGGAATGTGGGTTGACCGTTCGATGAATAGAAGTCTATAATTTACTCGCAGCTATTTTTCAGCGAAAAAAGTACAGACAAAAGCCATTATCTAAAAAAGATGATGCTCTGCCAAGCGAGCAGAGTCGACTGGGAAGCTCACGAACGTTAAAATGACAAGTGGTTCTCGTAAAAAAATTTGGCGTCCCCCCAGCAGTTCCTACATAAGAGTAGGCATTGTCGCAAATGTGCTAAAAGAAATTGAAAAACTCACATAAAGCTACTAACGATTTGCTTTGCGTCGTCTGATGATCGTGTGTTCGCGAAACTGACACAGGAACACAGAAGAGCCATCCAGGCACACCATTTAGCCTGAAACAGCAAATCTACAAAAATTGTTCATTCTTAAGAGTTTAGTTTGCTCCCAGACATTTAGTTACGGTGAAAACAGTGGTAAAAACAAACGATCGAAAAAACTAGGGAAAATAAGAAGGCAGAAAGAGGAGAGAACCTGTATAACATACCCGCATCATTAAACCGCACATGCTGAAGACCATTCCTAAAACGTTCATGTACTCTGGCAGTGGATCGTCTGACACAGTGCTGGCTGACTGGGAATCGGTAACTTTGAATCTAAGACAACAGGGACTATGAAGATCGACTCGGAAAAACAAAACACTCGAACTGAAGGAACCCGGAAACGAGTTGGAATAGCGAAGAAGTCAACAAACCTCACGATTTTATTCGGTCTTCTCGGATCAGCGGTGGACTGCATTTGTCACGACAACCTTCCTGAACAGATATTCACAAGCATTCGCATTTGAATTTGTAGACAAACGAGACAATAATGAAACGACGGAAGCTATCTACTTCCACTTGCTTCTGCTGAAAATAATCTTAGCTATTTGTCATAGAAAACCTTTTGAAATACCCCTTGTGCTAGTGGTAAAATAAAGCTTAGAAAACTTGAACACAAGACATGTTTTCCATAATGTACAGTGGTCTTTGAATGCAAGAATTTCCGAAAAAATCAAACAGGTTGCCCTCTCTTCAAAAACATGACGTCATCCCAAGTAAAAACAGATTTCTGATTCTCGAAAATCAAGGTATGAACGTTATGTCCGGACTACATAACCCTAGACGAGAAATATCCACGAAGGCACACCTAAATCTCAACTAAGTCTCTCTTGTTTTAGGAATAACCGTAGTAACAGCCCAATGCAGACGTGACAACAAAACTGACGTCTCCGTCCTAAATTCAGGGCAGGGCAGAACAATTTCTTACCAGCGAGTGTTTTTGGCGTTATTAGTGCGTTTCCTATCTTGGGAGCATTTGCTTGCTTTCATAATGAACTCCGGACTGCAGGTGTCTGCGGTTATGATCGAACACGCTATTGCCTTTTTCGCGGGCTAACGCATTCACCACCACACCGTGCGGCTCCTTCGTTTCGCCTTTCTTTCAGCTAGTTTTGGTATCCTGTTGTGGAAAATTCTAACAGGCAGCAAACACAAAGTTAGCATTGCTTGATTCCAGTTATGGAAGAATCGTTGGATGATCGAATTACTGCGATCGAACGTGTGATGGGTATCGATGATTACTCTGATGTCAGTTCTTCAGTCCTTTGTTCGGCCAGCTTAAATTCCATTTCTGATGACGTCACACATTTCTTTTGTATTTGTTTTCTATTTCGCCAGTGTTGTGAGTTAGCATTTACAATATGCTACAGGTGAAAACGGAGGACTTCGATGTGGACTCTTTACTGGAAAGGATGAAGAACTTAGGTTTGGGTCGCGTAATGAAAATCCCGCTATCCAAATTGAAGAGCTTAAAGAGCCTCAACAATAGGGTTAGTTCTTATTTTCTTTCATTTGAATGAAGCCCTAGCAACAAGCTCTATCCTCTCGAGGACCTTTCATTTAAGCCGGAAACGCGATCATTATCCGAAAGGCTGTCGACAATAGAGTTTTGCGAAAACCTTATACGACAAAGGGCTGACCTGCTGAAGGAATTTGAAGAACGGCTACAGTTAGGTGCCCAAACCTTACTTTAGACCTTGTGCTCCGAATTTTTAAGAAAAAAAAACCGGTTCATTTCAGGTGGTTCTGCAGACGGACAAAATAAGCATAGCCGCTCAGCAAGAAGAGCAGCTGGAAGCCCTTGAATTGGACATCCAGAGAGGCTTGGACGAATGGAAAAAGTAACTTTTTCATGTGATATGCTTCTTTGCTGTTCACATATTACTGCTTTGTGGAAATTTAGATATACTTTGGAGTTAGAAGAATTTAAGCTGGAATACTTCTCTGTCGTGGCTGGTTTACAGGAGCGTGTGGAGGAATTGGATAGCATGGTAGGTGGAATAGCAAAAACATTTTCAACCTCCAGCCAGTAGTGATCCTTTTTGATGCTTCTTTCTGTGAGAATCCATTAGGCCCATAAGGTGTTCCTGTACCACTAAATTCGTCAGTATATTGCCTTGCTTTAAGCACATTTGTAAGATATGGGTTTCACTTGTCACTTGTTAGGTGAGTCTATATTTCCCGTCGTCCCGCTGATCGTCGAGTGATTCGAGCGAGTGTCAGTAAATTTTCCATTCTTCCCTGCCACGTACATGAGTAGCCCAGTGGGTTTTGCTTATTCTAGGGACTCATTGAGCATCATACTGTTCTTATAGGATTTTCATAAAGAACTCTGACCATTGGGTCGGTGGTTTTCATCCAATCAAATCTTCTTCTATGGAGCCTCGTCATTTATCATCGGTACCTTCCTGTGTTATCAAGCTAATACGACGTTGGTAGAATGGTTTACTCGTTTGACATTGCAAAGAGTCCAGCCGCTGACGTGTTTGTCCATTGTTGCCGTTCATACGCATTACATGTCCGCCCAACCTTATTTCCTACTGTTTGGCATATAGAACGGCGTCTGTGATATTTGATCGTTGACATGGGGCGAAATTTCGGTTTTCCTGGTCCACTTATATGACGCGGGATGCCTCTAGCATCGTTCTTTCGACTACATGTTCTATAACACTGAGCGATTTTCCATCTTGCTTACTCAACGACCAGGTTTCTGGCGCACACGTTAGGACAGGAAAAATGACATTATGTCTAAAAACTAAACTCACTTGACGTGGTGTCCTAGTTATTGTTGTCCACTCATTCTTAATAACTCAGATCAGATTACAAAAGATAGTAACTTCTTCCTTGATTTTTTAGACCGACTGTGTCATTTAGCCTCGTCATTTATCATCAGTACCTTCCTGTATTATTAAGCTAATACGACGTTGGTAGAATGGTTTATTCGACTAACGTCTCGCGGTCTTCGTCTTCCTCAGAGCCGATGATCCAAGTTGGTGATCCACAGTCGTTCGATCTGTCGATGTGATGTCTTCATCTTCGTAACGAGTCGAATCTTCTTCGATGGAGCTCCGCTCGAATGAGGCAATCTCACCTAGGAGTGCTCCGTCATATAGGGCGGTTGGTATTGAGGAAGTGTCATCAACTGTAAGGAAAACGAAGACGTGGAAACGTTAGCCGAATAAACTTTTTGATCGACTTCGTTTTAGCGTAATCATCCGTTTATAGTAGTAGTAGGAATCGTGCCGTTCTCAACATAGGTTGAACTTGAATAATATTTTGAGAGTGGTGCGGATTTCAAGTGTCATAATGTCTGTTGCATTGCTTTTAATGCAAATTTAGAAGTTTCTACAATAGTCTGATAGGAAAAATGGAAGTACTTGCTAGGATGATTTTTTTGAAGTGTTCAAACCTGTTGCTCATTTTTAGATTACGGCTATCGAGCAAGATTCGGAGGCTTAGATACTGTAGATTATTTATTCTGACTATTGTTCACTTTTATGTGTAAAATCTTTTATTACTTGATTGATTTTAGTTTATTTATGTGTAGGCTAATAAACGTAGTTATTATTTATTCATGATCCTCGGTTGTAATGAAACAAGTAGTTTTATTTAATCCACAACGTTTGTACATTTGTATTGTTCAGTTGTTGTTGAATCGGACGTTCCTAACTTGAACTGTGTGAATCTTAAAGCTAATCAGCGTAGAGCAGCATTGTAAAATGACAAGCGATTGTACGTGAACTTTATTGGAGCTAAATAAAAGTGCATCTAGGAAGTTATGGCTAATTTGTAGACTTTTGAACTAATGAGGACGTTCTATTAGCAGTCTCTCGACGAAGGACGCGTGCAGGTGTCATAGTGGTTTTGCAGGAGTGCAGGATAAGATACCTATAGGTCTCATTACTTATCTTAACATTTACTACTCTTTTTCTATACTTTTAGTTGTCAGTTGATAGCTCGTAAAACACAGGTATCGTTCTGAGCTTCGGTTGGGAAAAGCTATGTTCTGCACTTAAAAATACACAAAGAAGCGTTTGCCGAACGAGTTCCTAAACAGAAATCTTAGTTCTGATCGACTACTATTTCAATTCTAATTGCTATAGTGAGTGGTAGTTATCGTATAGATTGAGTGGTTATAGAAAATACTGAAATAAAGACCCATAAGTAGCAAAACACTTCCAAATGTCAACCGTAATGTTTATAGAATGGACCAAAGTAACGTATAGTAGGTAGCACCATAAATATTATTTATAGCCGGAGAACGATAGGATAAAGTCTTCTTCACAATCCGTTTATGTTCACAACCCATGAAGTCCTCTAATTATCGAGAAACTACTGTTCATTTTCAAAAAACCAGTAAGTTCATGAAGGCTAAAAATTAGGCGTTCTTCAGTCCTCAACAAACTCGAGATTAGGCGTTGTCGCGCTAGACGGTGAAACCTCGTGGTAAGGATTTGACATCTTGTAGTGATAAGGTTGAAATTGGCATTGCTAAAAAGTTGAAAGTCGGTGTTAGATGCGCCTTATCTTCTATTACTGAGTTCACGATAGGTTCCTATTCTAGATTCTATTCCTAAAGTTCACAAATTATTCAAGCTACTTTTCTTACGCCGCTCTTGAACTATGTCTCATTAGCTAGTACTGCTTATTGTCTCCCTTGCATACAATAGTTGTTTGAAGTAGAACACGAAAAAAAAGGGACAATCACGGTGCGCGCGTTGGACTAGGCCTTAGCATAAATCCATCTCTATCCAGGCTTGGGGATAGAACTTGAAATCTGCCTGCTTGGCAGATATTGCTGGTGACGATTCTGCGTTGTGGGGCGCATTACAGCACCCAGAAACAATTAAGAACGATGAGACGGTCGATCATTAGGGTGGCGAGCTCGTAATGTCGTCCTTGCTACATCGCACTTTGCTACCCACAATGGATGCAGTTCCATCTATCCATCGACCTCCACGGTTATTTAATGGTCAACTAAGGAATCTAATGGAGTCGCGGAGGCGAAATGGGACTGGATCCGGCTATTGTTTATACTCATTATTACGTCTTTGATGCTTGATTACTTTCCCAGGTCTCTCGAATGTTCATCTGGAAAGCTCTGCACCTTCTGGACCATCTCAAACATATTTCCGTGCATTGTCTCAAACAGATTTCTATGCATTCTAAACCTTACAGAGGAACCTAAGAGTTAGTAAACTCATTCGTGACCACGTCTAATTTGGTGGAGCGGTCGCTTCGAACTGTAAGCAATTTTTCGCCGAGGACATTGCACTAAAGAACTCGTCCGGAACAACTTTATATTTTAGTCTTGTAAAAATGCAGAAGTGCATTCTCCGTAGATTTGTATACCCGTAAATTTGTCGAGGTTTTACTGGCTCTTACTCGGTACCACTGGATTTGTCTCCAAAGTGATCACTGATTCGTGTGTCTTGTATATGTAGGTAATCAAGAATTTTATTATTGGTTGTGAACTGAGAACTTGTACGGTCACTTAGACACTTTTTTTCCTCTTCTAGAAGCACGACTATTTGCTGTAGCTCCAGTTCCTTCGCTTGATTTCGATGAACGCATGCTTCTTGCAGGTACGTTTCTACTACTGGATCGTCTAGCGGATGGTATGAATGGTACAAGCCGTTGCCCTTGAATGACATGCTCAACATTGGTCGCATTCACTATCATCTGTAATTGGACCAAGATCGTCTGTGAATGAAAATTCGTACAATGAGGGTAGAAGGAAGTTTCAAGTGTATTTTCTTTGTTTTTTAGAAAAAAACACCTCATCGTAATTGATTTAGTGAAGATAGTTGGTTTATGAATGTTTGTAAAATACATTATTTGTTCCAGATTTCGTTGGAATAAGTATAGTTCTGAGTTAGTAGTGGTTAACAAACAAACACGGCAACACAAGTTCTCAACAGGAGCGCACCGACAGCTCGAATTTGGAGAAAATAGGAAGACGATGTCGTCATTTTTTATTTGCTGCCTACTATTTTTTTGAATGGCATAGTACTATGTGAAATATAACCATAATGATCCTGAGATGTTATAGATGAAGGACTCGCGTAGTGTGGTGGTGAACGCGTTGGCCCCGACAAGGGTAATAACGTGTTCGGTCCCCACCGCAGACACCAGCGGTGCGAAGTTTTGCAAATGTCTCGGCATCGTTATAGTTAAGAAGGCAATGTTCGAAGAGAACCACAGCTGGTAAAACTTCAGTTAGTTTTTCAAGCATGGTTCTAAAGAATGTGTACAAATTTTAATCTGTCCTACCAACCTGATTGTTCGCTCCGTTAGCTTCTTTACTCGACAACGAAAGTACTGGTGTTCCAGGAGCTGTTTTCTGTAGTAATTTTAAGAGCTAGTAGTTTTTTAATGGATATTGATGCTTTTTGTGAGTAACTTTACTCAGTTTTGTAGGATTTCGCCCTTTGGTGGTTATATAAAATCGAGGAAAGCCGAGATATGTCGAGAGGGAAAGAGGAAAAAAGCTGTCTAAATAGGAAACCTCTTAGGCTGTCCAGGAAACAGCTACCGTTATAACTTCTTTTATTTAGATGCTCTGTTTTTAAATACTGTTGTAAAGGTTTACATTCTTTCTATGTATAATGCCAAAGCACGAACTTCGCATTATACTGTTTTTATTCATATATCTTGTTCAGTTTATATTTTAAGGAGAAAAACGGACAAAACAGAAATTCAGGTTCTTCTATACAAAAATATGATCAAATCTGGGGAACTGCTCACAATATCAAAACTACATTTGTTCAGGATCGTCACTGTTGTACCAAGTAGATGGAACTTTGGTTCCGGAAGTTTTGAAATGAAGGCGAGAATCTCGGAGAGGACAGTACGGGATCACCAGTTGGCATCAACCACGGAACGTTGAAGACGTTGGTCAAAATAATTTGCCAGATAAACGGTTCTCAAGCTTTCAGAAACACTGTTTGTATGCAAATTAGTGGTTTTGGAGTACTTAGATCTTAATAATTCGAAGGGGAACTCCAAGGACAACTGTTCGTTAATTGAATGAGGGGGAAGGTGATCGTCGTCACTATGGAATCTGTTATGCTTTTCTTTTTAACAGCAGAAATGATGCCGTCCATCTCAGTTCCTTGACCGCAATGTGATTGCAGCTCAAAATGAATTCTCTACGTTAGTCGACGGCGTTCTTTACAAGGCTGAATAAGAGTGAAGTTCCGAAACACTTCTAAAGACCAATTTTCCGCCAGTAGAAAGTATTGTTCATTTATGATGAGGTTAAGGTATCTGTTAGTCAATAGGAGAAGCTCCCCTGAATTGAAATCTTGATGAGACCGCTACAGCACATACATAATGGCTAAAAGTCTGGTGAAATAAACCAGGAACTGCATGGATCATTCTTCATTTGTCGTTGGGTAAATTCTATTAAATAATACAACAACGATTGACCAGAAGTTGCGCAATTTTCTTACTTTTTATTTCGCAAGACCCGTCTTCATATCTATTGTGTAGATCTCAACAGTTCCACAAAACTATAAACTTTTCAGCTCTGGTTCCGTTGCTGCTTGTGGATTGTCGTCTTCCATATGAATGTAGAGTTTGATGCTCGCAGAATAGATTCTTCCCGGGATCTTGCGATAGCGCTCCCATTTCGGCTGCAGGGAGCGACCGTATCCTATACAAGTTTCGTAGCACTTGCCCGATTCCGGAGAGATGAGAGGTTTAGCGAGATCGATCTGAGGACGAACCAGGAGGCTAGGTAGGTTGGTCGTCCACCTAATGAACAGCGTTATTACCACTACCCCACCTTTTCACTAATCGTCTAGTAAATAATGGAGAAGCGTAAAAGCATTGAAATGCGTAGATCTGCTCTATTCAACATGCTAATCGGGCCTCTCACCACTTCGCTTAACACTGGGAACTCATTGACCAACTTCTCCTTGCTGGGAAAATATTCCATAACCAAATCATTGCCGAAAAAGCGTTCGAAAGTTCGGTGGGTTCTAGATATTAGAGATCTTACAATGTGGAATAAATACGGGTATGACTGTTAAGAGAGCATGAGGTTATTATATGTATAAAATAAATCTTATGTAAGTAATAGATTAGTAACGGTATTTGGTTTCCATAAAAGCTAAGATCTTATCAAGAGAGAATTGCCGCGGAGAATAACTGGATCGTGGATTTTATCGCTCAACATAGAAATGTTATGTGAGTCATGCTCCATTAACGGGTTCGACAATGACGTCAATAGTATGCTCGAACCTCCGTACTTCCATGTTGCCTTCGACGAATGAATTTTTGCTTTGGAGCGACCGGTCTTTCCAAGGCATCTTTGATGGTACTGAAGTCGAGATATGTTTACGTTAGATGCTCTTTTACTGTAAAATACTCTGTAGTACTGTAATATTAACTTACTGTATACAATATTTCTGCAATACTTTTGCAATGTTTCTCATTTTTGGTCTCTTCGTAACGTTATTAGTCCAGCACTTCTTCATTATCTGTAAAACGAGTCTACATTCTACCTGCTTTTATCTGTAAACGGATAGATTTCGAAGCATTGATAGATTTCGTGGAATTAATTCCTAGTAATATCCTAATCGTAGATCCGATGAGGCTCTTGGGGTAGTAGCATTGAAGCTTTACAACGATTTTTGAGAGTCACACGATGAATATATCAGCTCCTCATGTTTTGTAGGAATCAACATCGAAGGGAATGGAAACTACGCTGATCTAAGCCCATATCAATCACGCGCCGGCATGCTCAATAGTGGCATACCACTGTTCTGAGCGTATAACCTCAGGGTAAGACATAGCTCAACGTATTTACTCAAAAATTCGTGTTAATGTAAGTAGGAATCGCTGCACAGTCGTTCATATGAAGTTGTTTCGCTGTAAATTCCAAAAAGTCCTCAGAATATCGGTATTGGGTAAAAGGTCTATCAAAAGACTGGTTTCACGAACATATTGATTTACATTGTTTAAATTTCTACAAGATTTTTATTCTACAGTACATCTTCCACAGTCACTTACTATTGGTATTTCTGGATAGTTGGAGAGATGCGGAACAAATGGTCGAAACTCCGGATCGTGAATCTGGATTCGTATTTGTATTAGCACAAAAGAAAACAACGCGAACTACGACTAAACTTTACCTTTTTTCTAATTTCCGCGATTGATTTTCCATGGAAAGGCACTTTACCGTCGTTGTAGATCTCAGACATCAACATACCGTACGACCAAACGTCACTTTCGCGCACGTAAATGTGATAACGTAGTACTTCAGGAGCTTGCCTGGAAGACGATCCTTCCCGGTTTTACTATTCAAGGCTTCGAAGAAAAGTATGATATGGGTTACTCATGATTTGACCTTGAAACTTGTTCTGAAAGCGTTCGGTATGTGCTTTCTGGACCAAGGATAGAAGGAGGTTGGGAGGTGCCTTGGAATCGTCTCAGTGATTAGATAATTCCTCCATTTCTTCATTGGGAAAAGTGTCCTACTTTTCTACGGATGGGATGCACTATGCATTTTATTCCATTGCGAATCGTAGAGGTGATTGAATGCGTATTTCGTCAATACATTGGCCAACTTGGTGTTCTTATCCTCACGGACAAGTTTAGTACGCATCTGCTGATCCTGGAAGAATTGGCAGCTCAGCGCCCGGAATCAAATCAAAAGCATACCTGCGTATAGCAGGACACCTCTAACCACTGAGCTTCGTGGAATACCAGAAAGGAGTGTAGAGATTTCTATATCTTTGAATATCATCCCTTTGGACACTAATATGCTTTTCAAGAACGAACTCATACCTATGGTTGACATCCGACCAATTTTGAATTTGAGTATGTGACTACTATGCCACTATATATTTTTTGTCCATGTTCTAGTGAACTGTTAAGCTTGAACTTCGACTTGGTGAGAGCGTATAGCTTCCTTGTGTAATTTTTCATGGTCTCTTAATCTTTGAAAGGAAACCAATCCAATTTTTAACGGCTACCATTGGATAGGAATAGTAAACGAAAATGTTCGTTTTGAAGTAGTAAAGTTATGGTATCTTGTGGTAACGAAAGTAATATACTCGTGTTGTGGAAGTTTCGAGCCTCTCCACGGATGCGTTCAAACCACGGTGCTTTCATGGCATGAACTTTGCTGAGACAACGGATGGTAGGGGGTTAAGTGAGTGTACCGAAGTTGTTGGTTCTGGCATGCGAAAAATGAAAGGTCTTGGGTTCAATCCTGCTACAAAGCATAACCGACTCCTCCATTCCTCCTGAGACGGCAAAATTGAAACCAATCTGTCTGGGTGGACACCGAAACAGTGATTATGTTTAACTATAGTTCTTCTAGACTCATGTACGTCAAGTGTGCCCATAGTGCCAAACGTATGCCTCATTCATCAGCTCCGCACGCTTAACCCTTTATTCTACACCTTTCTATTCGCAACAAAATTGCACGTTGAAGGTTTCTCTTTAAAACAAAGGAGAGTAATATTGGTGAAATGCGACACACGACAGCGTCACTGTCGAAGGTGGTGGTCTTCAAAACGAAACGAAAAGTTCATCTAGCGCATCATTTACCAATTAAAGGAAAATGTCTGTGCTTGTTTTTTTGCTTTCTTTAGTGGTGTACCTACTCGACTGATATCCGAACATATTGGAAACTAACCAGCGTATCGGCACTTTATCAAACTGTGTCAGCTTGGCACGTCTGCCATGAGCTGCTAACCCAAAATCGGATAGTTTCACCATGCGATTATCGCTTGTAACAAGACAGTTACGTGCTGCCACATCCCTTAAATTTTTAACTGGTAATCGATCCACTTGTTCCATTTTGCATTGATTTATATTTTAAATAATAATCGTCAAATCCTCTCACTGCAAATGACTTACCGCATAATCTTCTCCAGGGCCTATACCCGCGTATCGAACTCTGATAGGCACTGGGTCGTCAGGCTTAGCAGAGTCCACGTGCAGAGAAGTGGTTAAATGTTTTCGCCCAGGAATTTAGATAACATTAAGCGAATCCTGTAAATCGCCACTGTTTCGGTGGCAACCTACTCGCAATGTTGGAAACCGCCCCCAATCCACAGTTGTAGGCGCGGGCTCATTGTGACAACTTAGCCAATCGGTAGCGGTCCGCACTACTCTTCATGAAGACAGGCTTTTCAATCATTTAAGAATTAAGTATCAAATCACTATCAAAGTTTAATAATGTGTACCCACCTATGCATACAATTATTAGAGTGTAAATAAGCAAGACCAGCAGCAATATCATAGCAAAAGCTCGTCTTCACTAACGGCGTTAACTGTAAAGAAAGAATAGCTCGCAGCAAAAATAACAGGCTTCTGTAAGCTTTAAATTACTGCCATTGAAAATATAGACCTACCGTTTTCTTTTTTAAAAACGAATCTAGACTTCCCCCACTAACCAACTCCATCACAACCATAACATCACTATCGTTAAACACCAAACCGTGAAGTCTTACCAAGTTTCTAAAAGAAAAAATGTTTTTCGAAAAGAAAGTCCTCGGCCATGCTATAAAATGAGGACTGCGATTTGAAAATTATAATAGTATCTGGTTTTTCGCTATGATACTGCACAGCTATTGCATTACGTCTATTGCTTGTGCTCCAATATGTTAACTGAAGCTGAACGGTGTTCTTAACGGCACAACTTCTTATCGTTCTGTGGTGAAATTGTAGACTATTTTTTTGGCTGGATTAAGAAACCACGATGAGTTCGTTCCATGGTCCTCATGCTGAACACCTTATATCATTTCATTCATCTGTATTAAGTACTTCAATAATCAGGGAGCATGAAGTGCACTGGCTAGAAGTGTCCTCTAAAACGCACGTGGCTATCTGCCTGATGTGGCGCGTTAGGTTCATCAAATCCATCCCTCTGGGGGCGGCAAGTTAGTGGTACACAAGTCTGAGAGGATAAAAACACTGATCTGATATAACAGTATACCACCACGAAGCATTGTATCGATCAAATATGCATTCATTCACCTTTGTGATGCCACAACTCAGGTCCAATGCATGGTGCATCTCTGTGATTGGTCGATACCAAATACTATGTTAATTAGATAATGAGCAATTCTATCGACTACGCAGTTAGCTTTGAGATTTTTCTACGATGAAGTTGTTATTGTGCTATCAATAAGAACAAGATGTACAAGTTATGCTACGTTGGTTTCCTTTTTTTCGGTACGTTTCCTTTCCATATTCTCTCATTATATCAATGGCGGTTTACAACTGGTATCATTGTTGTTAACGCTGAAGAACGTAGCTTAAAATTGTATGCATCTATTCAACCCTCTCTTTTACTTCGATGACACTCATGACCACTCTTGAAAAAAAGCTAGGGATAGATTTAGAAGACTCGAAATTTACGGTCTCTAACATTTTAAAACTCATTCCTAACATACCATGGGGTAATGGGGCTTTGATGGATTGCAAGGCATTCATCTGAAGTGCTGAATTCATCGCAGACCTCGCTATTTGGTTCTCATTTTGAGCTAGGAATTTTTATTTGGAAGCAGATTAACGTATTATTCTACGAGTGTGTTGTGCTTGTTCCCACAAGCTAACGCACTTTCTGCTAACATACTTTCAAACATTAAGAAATAACCACTACTGGATAGAAAACTGCTTGAGAAAAAGACAAAGCAAAGGGTTCAGTGGTGCAGCGGGTAACATGTGAGGCACTGAAAAGTGCACTCGCAGGCTCTAATTTTGCTGGAGTCGAAGTTTTGCACATATTTTAACATCACAGTGTTTATATTTGAAATCATAACCTGCCCTGAAAAATAATAACAGGTGGTCAATAAAAAGTTACCAATGTCATTAAGATATGTTTCGAATTCGATCCTTTTACATAATGCGTATTTTAATATTTGCCACGACCGACTTTCTATTAACCTCGGCATTGATAAAGTGATTTTCTTCGTATTTTTGTTGAGCAAACGCGAGGTGTTACTATTCTTTGTTCACGATTAAGCTGACGTTTCGGCGAATTTCGCCTTCTTCAGAGCCGCTTTCTATGAGGTTTCCACTAAATATGTCACGTAGAGATCAACCGCACAGAAATCACGTGGAAGTATAATGTGCATTATAATATATGCATTATAATGCAGTATAATGCAGTATAATGTGCATTATATAATGTGCATTATACTGCATTATAATGCACATTATACTTCCACGTGATTTCTGTGCGGTTGATCTCTACGTGACATATTTAGTGGAAACCTCATAGAAAGCGGCTCTGAAGAAGGCGAAATTCGCCGAAACGTCAGCTTAATCGTGAACAAAGAATAGTAACACCTCGCGTTTGCTCAACAAAAATACGAAGAAAATCATTTAATATTTGCATCTGTTGCCAAAAACGAACTTATCGCTGACCTATGGTTATAAACCCGCATAAGACGTGCTTCTTGATGAAACATTTGAATTTGATTTTGAGTGGTGGAGTTGACTTTCATCTAAAGGAGATGAAATAGAACCGCTCTCTGTATGAGAGATAGTGTATGAGCTTCTCCATTAAACCTACTAGTTTTATAGCTACATCCACACTTTCTCCATCTTTTGTCTTCAACTTTCCTTTCCATACTTCACCGTATTCTCCTTCACCGATTTTCTTCTCCGGACTGACATTTGCTCGTTCAAGTTCCCATGTATGAAAAGGAATAAACAAGTATTGATCGTTACAAAGGTTTTTAAACCACTTTTTACTTGGTAATTTTTCAAGTATGCAAGTTTTTAGAAGCTCCTCTTTAAGCAGGTATTTTTTTTGCCGTAATCCAAACGTTTTTTCTTTTTTTTCACTAATTTCATACCACAGCAGATAACGCTGAAAAAGTGTTCGAATAACTCAATAATAAATACAGTATGAGATGCCTATTAGAGTAGGACCTCGCAGCGGTTTACCGTCTCATCGCCCAGTTAAGGGTTAACCAACACCAGGATCGCCACCACCCTGGTATCAAACCTATCGCACGGTGGAAAATCTTCCTCTGATCCACAAGGGCTGCGACTGTCTGTGGTGGTGACGACCTGGGGTAGACTTTGGCCGGGCTGATATCGGGAGTCCAGGGGCACCATGGCTAAACCAGCAAAACTCTGAAAATGGAGATTATGCTGGCACCCACACAACCAGTGGTGACGGGCCGTCCAAGTATCCAAGTAAGTAAGTATTAGGACTGGAACATTTCAGTATCCTTTTCACGCATAACAATCTATGCGGTATGCAATTCCTGCGGAGCTAAGAGAGATCTAATGTTTTTTACGAATAACTACTTGTAAATTGCGGTGTCGAAAACTGTTTCTTTCAAAAGAGATATAGTAGTACATGCGTAACTGGAGAAACCATTGATTTGACATGGAAGGTTTATGCGTTAACAGAGGCAAAATGAAAAAAAATTAGTTAAATTGGACTCGAGCTATCCGAAGCATATACATATATGAGCAATATATGATTCATGTCGTCCAGAATCTGCTTAAAAGCAGGTAAAAACTCTAGGATAGAAAAATTTACACGTTACTGGATGGCTGGGCAGATATCACGTGAATACTCTTATACCGAATTGGAGTTACTATGAAAACGTACCTGTTTTGGTGCTCCATTCTTTAGAATGATTTCTCCAAAAATCGGTAACTTTTCAGACAAATGAAGTCTTAAACGAAAAATATTAATCAGCTTTGAAATTCGGAAACCAGCCATAAATTAACCTACTTTATAACTTTGCTATAACTGGAATCTTGGTGAAATGTGTTTACTGTGAACTGCATAGCACCACCATTTCGTTTAACGTCGTAGAGAGGAAAATGGTATAGTATCGTGTCCCAGAACACTGTTAAGACCGGCTAAATTGATAATTTACAGGTAGTAACAACAATAAGAGCTTGTGACATGATAAATGGCGCATCTTAGAAACGCTGCTTGTCGTGTAGTCGGACGTTTGTGCCAGACCACAACTTGGGTAATTGAATATTTTTGTAACATGGCAATACAGAGCACAATCAAAGGTGAGTGTTTACATCACATATTTGTGATAGAACTACCAGCGGATGTACAGAGGAAAGTTGCTATACAGAATATTGTGTTCTATTCAGAGACGCCTATTGCTCGATTACACGGCACTATTTAGCATATTTTAGATTGCGGTGAGAAATTTGTTTTTTTCTCAGGATCATTGGTGGAGCGTTAAATGCTTTGGGTGCTGTTCAATTCCTGAAGGCAGTAGCACCGTCAACGCAATAAATGTGTGTGTATTACAGAGTACTCCTACCAGTTCACGAAATTATAATAATCGGTAATGCATGTGTATTTATAGGTGAAGCGGAAAAAAAGCCGCACGAGGTAAAATCGTTGCTCACAATACTGACTTCCTTTAGGCCTTTTCATAAATACCCGATATTTCTACACAAATTCTTTCTATTTTTCTCTATTCATTTCTATTGTTTCATCATCAAACCTACCGGGGTGAATTTTCTCTCTCTCTCGATCTTTCGCACTAGAAAGTCACCATTTTGATGTAGTATCGATTTCGCATCTTCGACTGGTATCATTCCGTGATACCATTCTTCTTTTTCCAGTTCCTGCACTTCCAATAAAAATTTCATCGCAATTACAAAGTACAGTACTTTCTTGATTTCTTTTTTGAAAACTTAATAAAGTCACTTTAACGAAATGGTGCATGCTAAATCGATCTGAATAACCAGATCAGTTGCAAGTTTTTCTTAATCAAAGACAGTAATACTCTTGTAATTTGTCTTAAATGGACAAATATCGTGGTAATTCAGAATGCTGTAGTACCGCAATGGTTTAATACCTGGTCGTCACTGGCTGTCCGCTTAAGTGTCAAACTTGACTCTGGTATTTTACCAGAAGGTTCATACTCAATAGGTTCATCTAAGCTGAGGAATTATACGTTTCCATAACCAGGTACTTAGCACGAACCACGACAGAGATACCATCTATGAAGACAGCAAATTGATCGGGAAACAAATTAGTGTTGGAGTGTCAACAAATATTTCAGAAAGCATACTCTACTAGTTCTCTGCTTCTCAAGGTCATCTCATGTAACACAGACCGATTGCAAACAGTATTCAAAGCACTTAGTGATTAACACCGCCACTGGTATTATAATACCACATGCCATGTTGCTCCTTCAAATACCTCGATTTGCGCACAATCGACAGACACTGATGTCATTGATATTCGTTTACCAGTCCACTTATCTTTGCAATCTGCTACGCAGTTATAAAACTTAGCTAAGACACTTGCACCCACGTTGAATTTTTTGATATGGGGCTTTCGAATCCGTTATTTAAAGGTTTGTCAGAACCTCAACTCAATAGGGCCTATTTGGCAGCGGATTATAGACTAAATTTATGTCGCCCACATCTTTACGCATCTCCACTTTACGGCTTCAACGATCGAGATGACTCCATAGATGTGCAAACCGACAATGGAACTCGGAAGGTAGTATAAGCAAGGGTTGTCCTTTATTGTGTAGCCAAGTCCTCGTTACGAACAGTGGAAGTAAAGGACGTCACAGCAAAAGCGTCTCTCAACAGCGGAGCTCGCGGAGCACCTCTGGTATGCAACGGTGATGGAGAAGGAAGGCTATCACATCTTCGTCTTTTCACAGTTATAATTCTGGTGGAACGCTGGAGTATTAAGGCTACACTATAACAGAGGAACATCTTAGTGATGTTACCCTTTATCGTACATCGTTTGAAAAGGAATACAAAGGGTAATACCGAAAACTTAACAATGAATGGTTCACAGTAGCAAGGGCGGCGGGCTTAAGACCATCTGTTATTTCGCATTATGAAGTAGATCGACCGACATGTTTCGTTTTATACTTACTTATTAAAACACATAAGTTAGTATCAGCTGATGATCTCGCCTGTACCAATCATTTATCCTACAAGGTTAGACCGTCATCAGCTGTGTAGACGGGCCAACGGATAGAATGACCTGGTTTTGAAGCCTGATACTTATCCAGTTGCTTAACCACATTCTACCTCACCTCACGAACACACAAATGTTCCTAGAACGTCTACGTAACGCGTCTCCTAACAGGGCGTACGTGATGGAGTTCGTCGACGTTTCCGCGCGCTGTACACCAACGTATCGAATAACTCCGCAATGCAAGCCATCCACGAACTTCTTGTTGAATATGAAGGAGGAATACATATGCATGGCTTGCCTATTCAGCAGCTCATGGTTCTCCCTAGAAGAGTGCCTAAACTGTTCGATTGTCAGATGGTCTGGGAATTATTACGCACAAATTAGAGGGCTGGCAAGAGGACAGCGGTTGGCACCAGCTCTCGCCGTTGCGTTCATGTCTAAAATAGAAGCCCTAGTTATCGATCTCCGCCCGCCACTCTACTGGAGATACATAGATGATTGTTTTGTCATCTTCTCCACTCAGGAGGAGTTGAACGAATGCTTTGAATTATTGAATGAGTAGTCTGAGTATATTAAATTAACCCGAGAGAAACCGAAAAAGACATAGCTTCCATTTCTTAACGTTCAAATCAACTTATCAAGTAGCGGTTACTTGACAAGGTGGTACCTAAAGCCAAGTAACAAGAACATCCTCGTTCATTTCCTTTCTTCCCAACATTCACACACAAAGAGGGCGATTGTGAGAAACTTGTCTCGAACAGACACCTCTGTGAGCACAAGCAGGGAGCTAAAGGAAGAATCACGCGACTTGGCTCAGCAAATAGCCGTCTCTAATGGCTACAAAACAACAATTTTAACTTATTATTTACCGCCTACTTTTTTTTAACGGCAGGGTATACATTGCGAAATATAACTTCAATGATGTTGAGATATTTGCAAAATTGCAAAACTCCGGACCGCAGGTGTATGCGGTGGGGACCGAACGCGCTATTGTCCTTTCCGGGGAGTAGCGCGGTGTGGTGGTGAACGCACTACTCCCCGGAAAGGACAATAGCGCGTTCGGTCCCCATCGCATACACCTGCGGTCCGGAGTTTTGCAACTATCTCAGCATCACTGAGGCTACGTAATAGTTACCACACGAGACAAGTTCGGAAGGAGAGCGACGCACTCAAGCAAAACACTTGGCCAAAAGAAAGTTCCGTTTATGTTGCCCTTTATTAGCGATGAAGTAAGGGTAGCCATTAAACGGTGCTTAAGAAGGGCAGGTTAGCGGAATCGGTAGCCATGGTTGAAATACCTAACCGCCTGTATAATCTTCTATGCGAGACAACAACTGTATAATAGAACAGTTAGATGGAAAACGAAAACTAAGACAAAGTACTCCACTAGGCACGCAAGGATACAAAGGCATAGCGGGACTTTCGAAGTTTCGATTTCGAAGTAAAAGTCAATATCCTTGTACAGGAGTCCAAAACACCTGCGCGAAAACTTCTTGAGGCTTTTTGGATCAATGCCAAAAACCCTACAATGAATAGCAGGGACGAATGCCCGGAGGTCATACGCGACCTGATCCCGTACGTTCGCATCGATTTTTGATGTGGGATGGTGCAGTCGTCAACCACATGCGACTATAATCAGCTGTTCTAAACTTCCTCATCGGAGGTTACGGAAAAAAAGCGGTGGGTTTTCGAGTTGTTGATCATGTAATTGCCAAAGGGTTCCTCGTCTTTTTGTAAGTGTTATTGAAGCGTTTGGCCTAGTAGATTGCATATCAGTATACCATTCCATGCTCTGAAGAAGGCGATACTGCCGAAACGTCAGCTAGTGTTGTATTGTATTGTGTTTTTCTATGGAAGTAAATGCATGCTGTTTAACAACTCCGCGATTGCTGAACAAGAAAACGACGCTGCACTATAATTTACGCAAAAGTTGAACATGGTCATTATGTGGATTTCTTAATTATTCAATTAGGCATATTATTCAATTTGAAATGCTCTCGCCCACCTCCCATGCTTCATTCAAACCTTTCAGGTCTTTCTAAAAAAACAGAGCAAATAGATGTTCACAGTTACAATCAGCAATGAGCAAATAAGCCAGACTTAACGAACTAGTACTTCTATAAACCTACGCTGTTTGTTTTTACTATCTTCTCTGACGGTATAGATGGTGAAGACGGTGTCCTTCCCATGATGGCTGGCATGTTTCGTTCAGATAGTAGTGGAGTTTCTGCGGACAGTTCTTCAACACTGAACAAGGATCGTTGAGCACAAATACTCCAAAAATTAATTAAATAGTAGCTGAAGGTTTCGGATGCAGAAATTTGTATCTATCTTCGTCCTATTACTTTGCGCTCATTCTTCGTTGGTTTTAACCTTACTGCTTACTCGTCGGTTTAATACCTTCACGTCCACCTATTACATGTTTCAATTACACATATTTATATTCTCGTACGTTGATGAGCCCTTATGTATGAGGTTTTTATTCTGATTTGGTGAATGTCGTCGGCAAAGTGGTCGGAATATATGATAAAAGCAGTTCAGGGTCACTTCCAACAATTAAGCACCACATCTATTTCGCCTCAGGCTAACAACCAATCTCTGATCATATCCTGCACTACAGCTGAGCTGGACTAACTATCCATGGGTACTTTACTGGAAGAAATTATTGGAACGAAGTACTGCATTCGACAGTGTAATGCTTTCGATTTTTCACGTTGAGACGTTAGTCGATCGATAGTTAAGGGGATGACGGTAGTACATTTGATACACATACATGTATTCAAGCGCATTTGCAGGTGTGAATATATTACTCTACTGCACTAACTTTTGTATCAATATGATGTACCTAATGCTAAACCTGAGAAGTAAAGTTCTTACGATTTTGGATCTGAGACATCATCTTGAGTGTGATCGATGTTCTCTTCGAGTAAATCATGCATACTCGCTTTTTTATCTTCCTGAATGAAACCTTTTTCATTTTCGCTAGTTTTGTCTGTAGGCGTACAAGATCCTTTGCTAAACAAAACCTGTGGGGTCTCTGCTCGTATTTTGTTCGCCCACCCATCCGCATCTTCTTCTGTTGGCTTGTTTGCACTCATTGGAAATTTTCGGTAAAGTCTAAAATAAGACATCAAGGTTTTTTATTTAATAATCGTCAAGTTAGCAATAGTGTTTAATCAATTTGCTTTTTTTACAGTATAAGAAGCAGCACGCTGTTGCTCGCTTTAGTTGACGCTACGCCTTCTAATCGAACACTCACTGTTCCATATGTTAAATTTGACATTAGACGGAGTATTGCCGAAGATTTTCAGCGGTGTGTTACAGTGATGTATTAATGTAAGTAGCCACTCGACTGGTTAGACCAAAGATAGATATAGATAGTATATATACAATAAAACGATAGAGCTCTCTGCGTTGATCAATCCCTGAGGGATGCGCCGTGCATTCGATTTCATTAAGCATCGTTTCGAGGTGATCGAATGCATATCTGGCCTTTAAAATGACTCGTGGTGGCCTATCGATGTATCCAGCCAGTGCTGCTATCCTCCCAGACAGGTCTGGCACCAATTTGCCTACCCCGAGGGATGGATGGCTTGGTGGGCCATGGGCGCGGGGATCGATTCCACGTGTGTGTTGCAGGGCGCCTGGGACCACTGAGTCACACGCGCCTGATGATTATATAAAGATAAGGTGGGCCAGACAC